AGGACAGATCTTGGGTAAGTGTCCCATTTACAGGTTCCTCCGTCTCAAAACTATTAAAGAGCTAAGCATTCATTTTAGAGCGTTCTTAGTGGAGTCAACACTTGCCCCACAGGATCAACAGTTGGAGACAGCACCCAGGTATTGGGGCCTCGGTGAGCAGTGCACCACCGGAATCAATGGCTTGGTGTTGCCCATGGCCCTGACAAGAGCGGCTAGGAAGTTGGAAAGAAACATGGCCCCTCATAAGGCAAAGGAGAAGAACAGTGACCAACCAGCGGACCGTCTGGAAAAGCCTGACGAGGCACTGAGCCCAACGTCTCGGTCACCTTCATTGGTGCTAGAGGTTTGTCTGCCCTGCACACTGGAGTCATTCGTGGCTGTGCAGGACATTAGTGCCATGCCAATACCGCCCCTCATGCCAGGGGGGCCCCGGCACAGGAGTAAACTGCCGTTTGGTCTCCGATCTCCTGGCACAGTCTGATCACACTCTCCTCCGGTGTCCAAGAGGAGAGTGCCACAGAGTGCCCATAGGTCTAAACATGAGAGACCGGGGCATGATGCGAGAACTTCCGCATTAGTGCACAGACCTGTGCAGGATGCACACCCCAGCAGCAGAGGTCTCAAAGGGATAGCGAGTCACCTTACTCACCGCGCTGACATCGGGACTCCTCTCCATGGCACCGGCACTATTCAGCACACAGTAGATACTCACCGGCATTAAGTCTTCCCGGCTGCAGAGGCACATCTTGCTTCTCCCAGTCCTTGTACCAGTGCTGTGGATTTTCTCTCCAGCACCGTTCTCGAGACTCAAGGAGTGGCTTTTCTGGGTGTTGTAGCTCCCACAGACTCTCCAGATGTTCCCGGTTTCTGTCAGTAGGGGAGACCTGTTAATGGAAGGAGCATCCACTCTTGCAGTGTGGCTTTAGAGGCAGCAATCATCCCTCTGGCACAGCAGTCAGCTCAACCCTCGGTGCTGTCAACGTGAGAACTGCCGGTGCCATCCCAGGGTACACCATAGGCACCATTTCAGTGGTAGGCGCAATAGTGCCTTTGAACTCCATGGGTTTCCTGATATAGCCCCAGCTTACCCACTCAGTTGCTGGACTGTCCCAGGCCCCCTCGGTGCTGTCAGTCTCATAGGCCTCAAGAGGATGCGGGGACACCAGTCTCTCCTCCTCCCACCCCCAACAGACATCAAGGACCATGGTCATCCCCTACCCTGTGAGGAAGGCCAAGTGGCCCAAGCCACCTCCTCTTCTTCACCAGACAAGCTGATTGTGGCTTTTCCTCCAGCAGTACCCCAGGAGAACTGGAGATCCCACCAGGATTTCCTGAGGAGGGTGGCCAATGGCTTGTGCCTCCAGGCCAAGGAGGTGGAAGAGATATCAGACTCATTGTTTGGGGTCCTGGGACAAGCAGGACTTAGCTGGGTACCCTTGCCGTGTACTAGGCAGTTGCCAAAATTGCCAAGACCCTCTGGCAGACCCCTTCCTACATCCCACCTGTAGCTAAGAGGGATGAACAGAAGTACTTTGTCCCAGCGGGGGACCACAACTATCTCTACACTCACCAACTCCCGTGTGATGGAATCAGTGAACCACAGAGAGTGCCAGGGCCAGCCATTCCCCACCCCCAAGAATAAATACTCCAAACGCTTGGACTTGTTTGGTAGAAAGATTCTTTTTATTTATTTTTTTTTGGGGGGGGGGGGGCAACTTTCAGTTAAAGGTGGGGAAACACCAGGCCTTGTTCACTTAGCAGGTGCTGGCTAGATGAGACCACCTTGCCCAAAGCCTCCTGCAAGTAGTACAAGGCCCTGATCGAGGAGGGGGCCTCCATGATGCTGGCAGCCTTGCAAGTGGTGTCTGATGCTGCAGACTCGGCCGCTTACTCTACGGCATGGGTTCCCATAGTGGGGGGCATGTGAAGAAATTCCAGGGGGGACGTGAGGCGACCCAGCCCCGCCATCCCCCGGTCAATCCTCCCCCCCCTAAGTTTTGCTGCTATTTTTGTTTTTTTTGGCCCCGGTCAGTTCCCAGTTGCTCCATGTGGGAGCTCAACAAGTTTGCTGCTATCGGGGGGAGGTGTGCGGGTTTCTCAAAAATCAAAAAGGGGGCGTGATGCGAAAAAGTTTGGGAAACACTGCTCTATGGCTTCCACCATCTCCATGAGGCAGGCAGCCTGGCTGCTTCTTTCACGCCTTTCTCTAGAGGTCCAGAACTCCATTCAGGATCTCCCTTTTGACATGGAGGTCCTATTCACCGAATAGATGGACACTAAGTTGCACGGGCTAAAGGACTCCCGAACAATCTCGAACACCGTAGGCATTCAAGATCAACATACCGGACTCCTAAGATCTTGCCCACCTGTTCTCCTTCAGGTTCTGTGTCTTCCTCCTGGCATAGAGGAACATTACTTTGGACCAGGATCCAAGCCACTGTCTAGCATAGCTACATCCTCCAGCTCTCCTCCACACTGCTCTCCCACTCTCTTCCCCCATCCTCCTTTAGGGACCCTTTTCACAAGCATCTTCTCCAGTAGGAGCTGTCCCAGTTGCTCCATGTGGGAGCAGTGGAGTGGGTGCTGCCAAGTTCAACAAATATTTGGTCCACCTCAAGTTCTGTGTGGTCTCCCTAGCCACTATCATTCCCAACCTATATCCCAGGGACTGATATGCCGCCCTCAACCTTGAGGATGCATATTTCTATATCTCCATCTTTGAGGGTCACAAGCACTTCCTGAGATTTGTAGAGGGAAAGAACCACCACCAATTTGTTGTCCTGTCCTTTGGCCTATCTGCGCCCCCAAGGGTTTTACCTAGCACACGTTGATGGTTGCAGCATACCTGCGGTGTCAGGGTATACAAGTGTGCCCTTATGTGGATGACTGGCTCGTCAAGAGCCCGTTGAGATGGAGGGTCTGGCACAATGTGCATCTCTTCCTGAAAAAGTCCTTCTGAGTACCACCTCAAAAGATAGAGTTCATAGGATCAGTTCTGGACTCGACTACGGCCAGAGCATCGCTCCCTCAAAAGAGATTCAAGGCCCTGTTAGCCCACATTTGGCAACTCGAAGACACCCCCATGACTCAGGCACGAGTGTGTCTGCAGATGCACACAATCTGGCTGCTTGCACATACGTGTGGCCTGATGAGGCCTTTCTCCCCAAAGTGGTCTCTACCTTCCACGTGGACCAGGACATTTTTCTGTCAGTCTTCTATCCCAAGCCTCATGCGAAAAATGAGGAAAGGCATTTTCACATCTCAATGTGCGCCAGGAGCTGGCTTTTTACCTGGAGAGGACACGTACCTTTCGCAGCTCCACATGGCCTATGCAGAGTGTGGGAGCGGTTCCCCAATTTCCTCCCAGTGATTGTCCAAATGGATCACTTTGTGCTTCCCCATGTGCTCTGAGTTGGCAAGGGCCCAGTCACCAGAGTTGATTAGGGCCCACTCCATCAGGGCTCAGGCTTCCTCACATGGTTTCCTTGCACATGTGCTGATCCAGGACATTTGTTGAGCAGCGACATGGTCATCAGTACATATATTCATGTCTCATAATGTCATTGCACAGCAGGCCAGGGAGGATGCTGCATTTGGCAGGGCTGTATTGTAGTCTGCATTCTGATGACTCCACCCACCTCCACAGACACTATTTCCAGTCACCTATGTTGAATGGACAAGAGCCAGCACTTGGAGAAGAAAAGAGTTACCTGTTCAGTAACTGATGTTCTGTGAGATGTTGCTCATGTTCATTCAGCCTCCCATTCTCCTTCCCTCTGTCAGAGTTCCAGCAAGAAGGAAATAAGGAGGGAGAGGTCAGGGGACATCTAATATAGTGCAGTATATATGCACTCCAAGGCTAGTGCTTAGGAGAAACAAACTTCCAAGGATGTTGCATGTGGCAGTCACGTGCACCTATGTTAAATGGACATGAGCAACACATCTCGAAGAACACCAGCTATGGAACAAGTAACTGTCTTTTTTATACTAGACTATAGATTAAAACGTATAGAGAATTAAGGCCATGTCTACTCTAGAAACCTTATAGCTGCAGCTTTCTCTTGTAAACATAACTAACCACACCCATATGCGGCAGTAATTATGTTGGCGGGAGAGTGTCTCCTGGTGACATAGGGCTGTCTACGCTGCAGTGAAACTTATGCTGGTCAGGGCAATGTATTTTTCTTCACACCCCAATGTACAAAAGTTTTACCAACAAAAGTGCTAGTGTAGATGTCCATTAAGTTAGAATGTTCCAGTTTTGCAGTCTCTTCAGAGTAGAAACACATCTTAAAAAATACACTGTATATTTATTAGATATGAATCTGCATTTTGCATCAAAGGGGAAGTAGAAAAAAATGCAAACATTTGTCACCCTCCGAAATACAAGAAAATACAGATTGAAACTCTCTTCAGCAGTATTCTCTGGTCCAGCAATATCCATAGCCTGAAAAGATATTGCAGAGAGTCCCGATGGAAGGCCAACAGCAAGGATCCTTGTGGAGCCAGCAGGGCAGTTGGCTGCCTGCAGCGAGCTGATGGGGTGCTGCTCAGTGTGTGGCAGCAAGGTTGCCCAGTGAGGTTGGGAGCCATGGTAGCTCAGTGGGGCAGGCAGTTGCAGCACGTGGCTGCCCGATGGGTCCCAGAGCCCCAGCACAGTGCTCCCCGGTGGGTCCCAGAGCCACAGCAGGTATGGCTGCCCAGCAGGGCCAATAGGAGGTGGGGAGCCATCTGGGAGGCCAGCAGCCAGGCCAATGGGATTAGCAAGGGGGGACCAGAAATGACTTCCCCTGGTCTGGCAAAATCCCTCATCCGGGACTGCCAGACCAAGGAGATCCAATCTATAGCTTGAAGATCTTCTCATATACCAGGGAAACTGTATATTTCCTTATATTCCATTTAAGTTCTTTGTAACAGGTGGTTTATAAGACAATAACAATACGAGAAAATTTACTGGTAGTTTTATATGTAACATCAACTAATTGACTTTTTGTTTTCAGATGTGCCAACTACAGATGTAAGCAAACCCAGAGTGTCCGACAGTGTCCATATCAATACATATCAAATTAAAGCAGAGCCAGAACAAGGGAACCTCTACTCACCAGAACAGACATCTCTCCATGAAAGTGAGGGTCTGTTGTATTCATTTTAAATACTGGAATTTTATTTCTTTATTGATTGTGCCAAAACTGTGTAATAGCTTGTTCTCATACTGGTTTCATATCTGCAGGGTCAGTAGGTAACTCAAGAAGTTCAACACAAATGAATTCTTATTCTGACAGTGGTTACCAGGAAGTAAGCAATTTCCATAACAGCCAGAACTTGAGCAAGTCAGAAAATAGACAGCAGCATTCACTTACTGGAACCACTAGTAATCATTTGGTGAAAAACTCACGGGCTGAAGGACAAACTTTAGTTCAGGTACGCAACATAGCAATTTTTTTTTCAGCTTAGTTGTTGGTCTGTAATGCATTTTGAACACAAATATGTGGCTAATTCTAGCTTTTTTATCAGCTTTGAATAAATGATGTTCCTTTGAAAAAATTTCAGTTTAATAAAATAGTAACATTTTACTAGGCAAATAGTGTAGGCAGCCCGAAAAGCATTTATTTACTAAAAGTATTATGCATCCTGTGTTGGCAATTAGTTGTAACTGTAACCCAATGAACTCTAAGTACAACAGGTAAAAGAGTATGTTATTTGTATCCTATCTGGACAGAATCACAGTTGAAGCAATTTAACTTTATAGAAGACAGAAATCATAATCAGATTTATGCCTGTGTTAAAGACAAGCAATGTTTGTCTGCTGCCCCTTTTTTCCCCCCAGCTATTTCTTGAATCAGACACTGATACCACTCCTTCTTTCTTTCAGTTTTATCTTGTTGTTATATACATTGGTCTGTTATAAGAGAGAGAAGTCAACACTATCTAGTTATTTATTAAAACTGTGGGGTGGAAAAGTGTTAGTATGTTAACAAAAAAGGAAGCAGAGTACAACTCAGAAATGCAGTATGGAGAATTTTAGATTGAGAAGAGGTGAAAAATAAGTGAAGAATTCAACTAATGTGTTTTCACAGGGAGAAAAACATAATATAATGGAAATGTAGGAAGTAGAGAGTCTGAAAATTTACTATAAAATTAATTTTTACTGTGTGGTCAGTTTTATACTGTGTTGAATGATGTGGGTTTTTTCTGATGGCTTTTATGTTTGAATAAAAATTAAAATCCAGGACCAAAATGTTTGAAATGAATAAAACTTGTTTTGTTTTTCTATTTAAATAGCCTTCCGTAAATATTGCTGCAAACCGAGCGATGAGGCGTGTTAGTTCAGTTCCATCCAGAGCACAGTCTCCTTCTTATGTTATCAGCACAGGTGTTTCTCCTTCAAGGGGGTCACTGAGAACTTCTTTAGGAAGTGGTTATGGTTCACCCTCAGTTACTGAATCACGACCCCTTACTTCTAATGCATATTCATCCACTACATTACCTGTACAGCGAGCAACTTCTCCTTATACCACACAAAGACCTGCTTCACCAGCAGCTGTACGGCGGATCAGTTCAGTCACATCTAGGCAGTCAGCTAATCCCAGTGGAGGAACTTCTCAATACCAAGCATCTGTCAGAGTGGGCTCACCACTTGCTCTAACTGATACACAGACAAGAGTAGCTTCTCCATCTCAAGCGCAGATGGGATCATCTTCCCCAAAACGCTCAGGCATGACTGCAGTTCCACAGCATTTGGGAACAACGTTACAAAGAACAATTCATGACATTGACCAGTATGGACAGCAATATGATATCTACGAGAGAATGGTACCGCCACGTCCAGATAGCCTTACAGGTTAGTAAAAAGGTAAAAACACTGCTTAAAACTTGATGCACACTGTCATATGTAGAAAACCAGTAGTGCAATTATAAAAATACAAATTAAACACTATAGTGTAAGAGAAATTATTCTAGGTTCTTCAAACTAGTTATAATTGATGTATTAAATGATTTATTGCAGTCATATTTGCAACTATGTAAGTTTATAGTAAACGCTCTAATTTCCCTCAATTAACAAATTACAAGAGCCATGTACAACATAGTGTGCTTTTTGGACTTTATTAGAAGCCAAGTTGTATCTACACACTTACATGCAAAGGTTACATACAAAGTTACAAATGGTGTGGGTAAATTTGCATTAAATCTAACTGTTTTAAATAAGTCCTTAATGTTATTTGATTTTATGTGGTACTTTTCATACACTAGCTCAGGAATCTCAAATACTTTGCAACAAATTTAAGTATTAACATTATGACAACAGCAAATGGGGCAGCTATTATATGTTTAGATATAGAACCTGTTTGTTTTTAGAAGGTAAATGCTTGCTAGATTAATTTTACTTAGGGTATGTCTACACTAGCTCCCTAGATCGATCTAGGGAGGCTAGTGTAGATGTACCCTTAGACTTAAAATTGTGTGTATGTGTTGCCCTTTCTTGTCTCTTAATTTTCATTGAGCCATATGTCAATGTGATAATGCAGGAAAAACATGCTATTTCATTGTGAATGCAGATGAAAGTGCTTGTTTAATTTTTCTTTTCCACTGCTAAAGACCCGGCACTCCCCAATCTGGTCCTCACTCCACCACATGAATTAGCTGCCTGCTCCCATCTCCCTCTCCTTCCTTTTCATCTGAGTAATAATAACCTGCCAACTGATAAGGCAAAAATCAGTATCTGACATGTAGACCTGGAAGATTTTTCAGAGAAAATGAATAAAATGTAGTAGCTGCATAACCTATAGTGTGATATTACTGTAAGAGAATACTAATACTTGGCAGTTATCTTGTACTTTACTTTTTCTCTAAGTGATTTACAAATATGAATGTTTTAGTTTTACACTGTGAGCAGTTTTACCACCTGAAACACATCAATCTATGAGCATGCACAGCCTTTAGGGAAAAGGGACTTATTTGAGTAATTGATATAAACAGATTCAACAAATCTTTAATATTTTTGTTTAATCTGAGAGCAGCAAGTAGCAACAGCAGTAGTCTAGGTTGCAGAATAGTTTCTTATAATCTCCACTAAAAGTTTTCCAAAGCATTTGTATTTGATACTCAAATATTCTATGCTTTCTCTACAGTTAAGTTATATTTAAGTTTGAATAAACTCCCTTCAGCAGTTATGAAAAGACAGGTAAATTTTTCCCAATATAAATTAGTTCTCTCATTTGTTCAGGAGGAGTAATTTAAAATGCCTGAAACTTTAGGTACAAATTTATATGTGATTAATGTTCTGACCACTGACACCATGTGTGTAAGAGTACCTACTAAGATGTACTTTAGGGGAGGAAATTGGGACAGAGGAGAAAAAGATTAGTATTGTGACAGCCTGTAGCACTATTTTTAAAAATGCATATTTCTGTAAAAGCTGAGGGAGAGGGTATTAGAGTGGCTGATCAGCTCGTCTCTTTCCTCAGGGTTTGTGGTCTCAAAAGAGGATCAGCATGGTACATGCAGTTGTCTTGAAGAAAATGAAATGTAGAATGGTTAAATGACGTGCTTGAGAGGTGTCATAGTGATCTAGTGGTGACCTAATTTGTAGCCTTAGAAGTTTGAAAGATCTGAGTTTTAATTCTAATCCTGAGACTAGATTGTTGGTTTACTTGGGATGAGTCACTTAAGCTTTCTGTCCCCAGTATCTAGAATTTTTTTTCTGTCCCTAGAAGCCATGATGCTGTCCAAAGAGTTTCCTCTCAGACATCATAGCAGGGCAAGTTTGAGATTTTTTTGTAAAAGGTATTAAATTCCAAATTTTGAGGGTATAATATAACTTCTTTCTTTAAGAATCCTTATTTGGAATGATGTAATAGTGTCCCTCATTTTATCTGTTCATCTGAGTCCAAATATTAACATTTTGTGTTATAATTAGTAGTTAATAAAACATAGTACCTAAATGACCTATGCACAGAAGTCGTGATTGCAATTTGATGTGAATTTTATAAAATAGATTAGAAAAAAATATTTTCTTTGAATTGTGTATAAAATACTGCTTTTTCTGGATTATGAACTTTCTGTGGACTGAAACCTTTGACTGTTCCTCCAGAACCCCACTTGATTTTGTGAACAAATCTGATCATACTGTCACTTTCTTATTTACTAAATATTATTGTATGATTCTTTTGATTAATTCTGTAGTTCATGTTTATGTAATTGTATTTATGGAAGGACTTTGGCTCAATTGTTTAGAATCTAGGGGCGAATTTAACATTAGTGCAACTCTAAATTGACAGTCAAATTAAACAAATCAGGGAAAGAAGAGTTAAGAGTGCAAATCTAGTCTGAGAAACTGTAAGATGCATGTAATTGAACTACAGGAGATAAGCATGCAAAGAAAAAAGTGTACTTACTTGAGAGGGTTATCTTCTTAAAGCAGGAGTGAGGAACCTTTTTTGAGTTAGGGACCATTGATCCACAGAAAAATCAATCCGGGACCTCATACTACTGAGAAGCCAAAAAAAAAAAAGTACCTAGATTAAGGCATGCCATCGGTTCCCATCCCCATTTTAAAATATAATCTCATAAAACTAATGAAGTCACCCAAAAACTGGGGACAAACAGAGAAGAGGAGAGCACCAAGAATGGAAAGAAATTTCAGAAAGCTCTGAGAGAGAGGAGAGAAAGAGAGAAAGAGGCGAAAAAACAAGGTAATGCTAAAAGAGTGGCCAGAGTGAAAGGAGGAGAACCAAAGCAGGGGAGAGCAAATCACAGAAGCTAAAGGAAAAGGGTGTGTCTAGTATGAAAGCACCAGGAAGTTTGAGCCCATGAAGAGACCATTTCGAGAGCACTTTCAAGAGATTAGATTTGGGACAGAATCCAAACTGGAGTGAGTAAAGTACTAAGTCTGAGATGCGTGAGGTAATACATGCATTGTAAATAGTCCTGGACCAGCTGACCTTCTGAGGTCCCTTCCAGTCCTACATTTCTTTGGTTTCTAGAATTATGTAGAAACTGACACTAGCTGAGAAAAAATGTGTCAAAACCTGCAAAGTATCAAATAGTTTGTTAGAGAAAAACAAAAGCACATGGGACGATATGATCAAGGATAACACCACTACCTTCTCACAGCATAATCACCCAGTGCCAGAAGCAGGATACAGAGCTCCCATGTCAAGGTAGCAATGAAAGTTAAACCCCAAAGCATCCCATTAGAGTCAATGACCAAATTAGTTTATTTGGATTAAGATGACAAAAGCTCTTCACTGTATCAGCACTGTGGATCTATGCTACCAAAAAAATCTTTTCACTCTGCAGATTTATGGATAAACCCTGTTCAGATTAACCAGCTTTCAAAAGTGGGGCTGGGTGACGTTGCAGGATCACTACTCCATCCATTTATGATTCTCTTGCCACGTGAAATGTTTTATGTTTTACTGAGCATTGCCTAAAGGGCTGGTACTAATTGGCTTAGCATCACCATCCGCACCAACACTCATGCAAGCAGGATTCCCTGGAGTTCTAGCTTTCGACATAATCAGGTTATACAGAGTTTACTTTTGAGGGAAATGCTTCATTTTCAATCAGAAATATTAAAAGCTGCACGATATCTCAAGTCCTTGCATGACACTTAGCTATCAGTACAGAAGTTAAGAATAGCTACACAGACAGGATGCACGTTCAGATATTACCAGAAATCTATCAGGGATTATCTAGCCGGTGCTTGGTCCTGCCATGAGGGCAGGGGACTGGACTCAATGACCTCTCGAGGTCCATTCCAGTTCTAGTGTTCTATGATTCTATAAAGAGAGAGAGAGAGAGAGAGAGAGAGTGTGTGTGTGTGTGTGTGTGTGTGTGTGTAAAGATAGAGAAAGAGAGAAAGAAGGGAAGACAGGATAGTTGTTGGAAGGACAAGCACAGTCAAGGTTAGGATTTGTATATTTACAAGCTAGAGATACCAGGCTATATTTTGAGTACAATGTTATGAGGGGGAAAGGAAGGAATGTTGGAAGTTGAGAGAGAAAATAAGGGCCTACAAGTCAGAGAGTGGTTAAGTATTAGATTAGGTTGAATTTGAGGCACAGAAGTGCTTACCTTAACAGAACTTCTGGCTTGTAGGACAGGAATCACACAGGATATACGTGGAGTGATGGGGAACCCTGCATAGTTGCACCAGGGTAAAATCTTGTTTTTAGAAAATGTACAGATCTGGCCATATATATCTTATCTGCCAGTCATACTACCAAATGCCTTATGGTTAAAAACAAAAAATAAATAAATAATTTCCCAATAAATTACAGTGGACTTTAAGCATATCCTTATTAACTGAACTTTACTAGTTAACTGAAGGGTTGAACAAATCTGTCAGAAAGCATATTTACAGTTATGGCAATATGAGCTGCCATGGGATTAATCATTGTCTCAAATAACTGATCATTAATTAGCTAGATGGCTCTCCTATTTTATTTAATTCCCTTTTATTTGTGGTGCAATCATTTGGAATTTTATAGCTATGGACATTAGAACATGTTTCTGTTGTGAAAAAATACTTTCATTTGAAAATGCCCTTGTCTTCTTTGCCTTCATGCTCAACTTCTAAGTGCCTGCAGGTACAGTACCAGACTATTAATGTGTCACTACCATTGGTTTTATTAACACTAATCGTTCCTTACAATACATATTTCAATACACCACGATAAGCAATCAATATGCATTTTTAATATATCTAAATGTGAACATATACATTTTGTTACAAAGAAGATAGGTCATATTCAGGAGATGTTTGGGATTTGGGGGATTCTATCCTGGGAAGCAATTAAAAGATATGCTCTTGGAATTATTTTGGGAAAGCCTATGGTTTGGGGGATATCTTGAAATGGAAATGCTACACTTGTCATCAGAGAGAAATGCTGTGTAATCATGTTTAACAATCTGTTTGTATGTGCTAAGCAGTCATCAAATTCAGAAATAATTATCTTGAACTGTTCGAAGGTTTTTTTATATACAAAGCATTTAAGAACTACAACTAAAACCTTTGTTTATAACAAGTGAAAATCAAATAGGAGTATGAAACAAATTTCTGTTCTTTCTTCTTTTGAAATGTTTGCAAGATCTGAATAGGCAGTTACAAATAACGTGAAACTTTCGGAAGAATCATTTAAGTTTTAGGAACACTTTCATTTATCTACTTGCCAAAAGTCTCCAAAATCCAGGTTTAAAAAAATGTTAAAAATAGAAGCTACTAGTAAAATGGGTGCTAATACCACAAATTTGTACTCATGTGCAGGGCTCGACAAATAGTGTAATATACTCTCCTGTGGCAAGTAGATTACACTCTAGAAGAGCCAGCGCGGAGCGATCTGTGCATGCGTAGAATGATCTGCACATGTGCAGAGCATAGAACCGCGCAGCTGGCGCTCAGGGCTCGCCGCCGCTCAGCGATCCCTGCTCATGTGTATACAGGCAGTCCCCGGGTTACATGGATCCGACTTACATCGGATCCCTACTTACAAATGGAGTGAGGCAACCCCACACTAGCTGCTCCCCCCAGCAGACCAGGAAGATGCGAAGCTAGCGCCCCCCCAGCAGACCAGGGAGACGCAGAGCAGCTTTTCTCAGCAGACACCTCAGCTTGAGAATAAAGGACTGAGGGAAGTGAGGTGTGGGAGAATAAAACTGAGCTCTGGAAAAATGTTTGGCTAGAGTTTCCCCTACAATATGCACCAGTTCTGACTTACATACAAATTCAACTTAAGAACAAACGTACAGTCCCTATCTTGTACGTAACCCAGGGACTGCCTGTATTGAAAATTAGTGTACATAATATGAGTACTTCATATTTCCTTACTTTAAAAATTTTCAGCATAGTTTAATAAGACTTAAATATGTAATTATTTTTCCCTGTTACTTCCTTTTTACAGAGAAACATATCTAATCACAAGGAACTATCACAATCACTTGCATAATGGGAGTGATGCTCTGATAAAGGTGGAGCAGAAATGTTTTCATTATGTTTGGGGATACTAAGCTGGTGCTTATTAAAAGTAGTTCATACTGGTTTCCCTGCAGTGCTTTACTTCCACAACTCTATAAAGTTTAAGCAGAACTCATACAAACCCTCTGAATTCCCATTGACTTCAGAAATTCCCCACACAAACGGTTTGCAAGCTTGGCTCCATAAGCTAATTGACAGCTGTAAGCACATCAGTGAGGTAGATAAGTATTTTTGGTCAGACGACAAAACAAACAGAGAAAGAGGCAAAGGCTTATATTTCTTGATTTATATAGGAACTGCAGGAACTCATCACTTCTGAAAATAAGGCCCTATAAGTCTGAAGTTGTGCAATTAGAACTTGAGTCCATTTCTCAAGATTTGTCTGTTAGTGTTGCCCTTGAATAAGTCAGTTAAGTCACCAGAAAAACTTATTATGAGACTTCTAGTAGGACAGTCTTGTGTTCAGTCCTCTGAATCACACTGCCTCTGGGGGGGAAAAGAGTGTTGAAATAGTGGTATATTTAAATGTCTCAAATATGACAACCGTGAACAACATTCATGCAAAATAGTTACTGCAGCTTCTAAGTTGACACAATTTGTGACCAAAGAAATTCTGTTCAGCCAATGGAATCAGTAATGTTAATAAAAATGGAAAAGGTGTAGTGTCCCCTTTTAGATCATAGTGGCCCTGCTTTGAAAAACATTTTATCCATATTTAATTTAAATGATACTTTTGAATGCAATTTACTTTTCACTAGATTAAAAGCTCAAAGGGCAGAGTATAGCATAATTTTTTCAGAGCAGCATTTTTGTGTGTTTTTTAAATTGCCACAAATTGCATGCCACTTACCCTTTCCTTGCTTCTAGGCTTGAGGAGTTCGTATGCTAGTCAGCACAGTCAACTTGGGCAAGAATGTCGTTCAGCTATATCTCCTGACCTACAGATCACCCCAATATATGAAGGACGAACCTATTACAGTCCAGTGTACCGCAGTCCAAATCATGGAGCAGTTGAGCTTCACCAAGGATCTCAGACAGCACTATATCGAACTGGGTCAGGTAGGTATAAAATTGAGGTTTTTCATAGTTTGCCAAATTTAGATGATTTCTGCAAAAATCTTTCTTGATTTAAATATTCATTTTCTACTTGAGAGAATATAAATTGTTATGACATTGTCAGTATACGTAATAAATATATGGTGCTAATTTAAAATAATAGAAGCCATAAATCAGTGAAGAGGAGCAAAAAGGCCTAAATCTGAAAGATTTGTACAATAATGTCAGAGATATTAATAAGTAATAGATTAGTTTAAATGTTCTTTATTCTTTGTGATGCCAATAGCAAGTACACAAGTCTATATGCTGATAAATCAGTTTTCATCTTAACTCAAAATCTTTTCAGTGTAATGTAGCTGATGATCTCAAAAAGAAACGAGACTTAATACGGATCTTCCCCGCTAAGGTTATGTTATATCTAGACTGCAGGCTTCTTTTGGAAGAAGCTTTTCTAGAAGAGATCTTCCAAAAAACAAAGAGTGTCTACACTGCCAAAATGCATCAAAAAAGCGATCTGCTTTTTCGAAAGATAGAGTCCACACTGAATGGATGCTATCTCGCATTTAAGCTGTGATTACTATGGATGGAGTGGCCACCAGGGCACCTGTGCTTTTTCCTCTTCTTTCGAAAACTCCCTTTTCCCCATCCACACGTCTTTTTCCGAAAGAGCTCTTTCAGAAAAAGGCTTCTTCCTCGTAGAAAGAGGTTTACCACTGTCAGAAAAAAAAGCTCTGTTTTGATTTTTTTCCCCCGAAAGAATGCAATTGCAGTGTGGACATAAGTGAAATTTTTTTCAGAAAACCAGCCATTTTTATGAAAAAAAAAAAAAAAAACCTCTGCAGTATAGAGAGACCCTGAATTCTAAAACTTGTTTGTGATGGCAAACATTAGCAGTAGTATTAATGTAGTAGCAGTAGTATATACTCGTGCCTGACCTTGCACATGCATATTGATTTCTCTTTTTTTCCCTGGGACCTATGCAAAAACTTTTTGTTTTTCAAATATTATAGACTAAAACTACTGTTTATATCTCCCTGCCATATTTTTGAAAACAAGTTGTTAGAAATATTTGTTCTAATTAAATAAATGTCATAGTTACAAGGCTCATTAGTGAAGTTATTTTATAAGATTTACTTCACTTTTGTTTTCTCTCAAGACTAGTGACACCTCCCGAGACAGTAGCACTCTTGTATACGTTCACAGGGTTAAACCAAATGCTAAATTTAGGGTGGATTTTCTCCTGGACATATTGGGAGAGAACTTAGATGAGTTCTTTATTTAATAAGTAAGCACTGAGTGGTGTTCTGGTAGGAATATGCCATGTGATAGTGCATTGTATGTTTTGTTTGTTTCTAGTGTGTGGAAGATCCTTGTCTTTTTTCAATCTCCGATTTATATGCTATAACATACTGAAGCCATTACAGTTTTCTGCATTTTTCCTCCATGAGTGGGCTTTGTAGTTCCTTGAAGACATATTGTAGATCTGGAAGGGACCTCATTAGGTCATGTAATCCAGTTCCCTGCACTGAGAGGCAGCACTACTTAATAATTAAACCATTCCTGATAGGAGTCTGTCTGACCTGTTAAAGTTTACAATGATACTCTCCCTAGGTTTCTAGGAAATTTTCTCCAGTGCTTCACTATCCTGACTGGAAATTTTTCCTAATGTCCAATCTAAACCTCTTTTTGCTCCAGTTTAAGCCCATTGCTTCTTGTTCTAAACTCAGAAGTTAATGTTAATATTTTTACCCTCCTCCTTGTGGAGGTATTATATGTCCTTGAAAACTGCCATCATATCCCGACTTACTCTTCTCTTCTCCAGATTATACAAGCCTGATTTTTTTTCAATCTTTCCTCCTAGGTTATGTTTTCTAGATCATTTTTGTTGTTCTCCTGCCTACCTCTGTCCTGAAATGTGGCACTCAGAACTGGACACAATATGCCTGCTGAGGCCTTATCAACATGGAGTAGAGTGGAAGAAGTATATCTCATGTCTTGGCTTACAACACTCCTGCTACTATATCCCAAAATGATGTTTGCTTTTTTTGCAATGGTGTTACACCGACTTTTATTTATCATGTAATTTCTCTTATTTTTTTCCTGTTTTATTAATGTTACAGAACCCTGCTAATTTGCACTATGCTAATTCACATACACTTTACGCAATAAAACACATGGTATCAGCCAACTTCTCAAAGATTTAATACTGGAATGCAAGATTGTAAAATCCAATATTAAAACCTAATTACTGTTTTGATATATGACAGACTATGCAATGGCATGTTGTGAATTAGTATTATAAATAATTGCAGCTAAATTGAAATTCTCACATGAAAGGAAAAGCTGTAGTATGTTTTGTGATGCAGCAGTCTGGTTTTTGCAAAATTAAGTAGTTGCAATAGGTCTCCCAATCATTAGAGTGAATTAAGTCACAATATCTATTACAATGTTTTTAAACATTTTAAGTTGCTTGCTGCTAAGTTTGTATCAGCTGAGACATTGAGTGAACAAGGCACAAGTTTTGCAGTTTCCTTATTACCTTAACTAAACTCATGTAAACTAAACTGCATGTTTGTCAAATTTTTATCTCAGTTGAGAAACTGCAAAATAAGGTTCCCGTTCTTTTAATGTATTTTAGAAGAGCAGAAAATACCACACAAAAACACTCTAATCATGAATGTTCATATTCATACCTCATTTCACACACAAGTGTTGTTTTTCTGAATCATCTGAGATTAATGCCTTGAAAGAATCTTTAAACTTGCATCCAATTTATGGAAGGGAGAGGTATTACTATCAGGATAGCTTCTTGTTTTATTCCCCATTTTTCTTTCTTCAGAATATTAGATGCATACAATTGCGTTTTATTAAACACCTCTGAAATTGTTCTATTTGTAACTAGGTCCCTCGTTAGTTCCTGGTTTATTAGAAGTGTATTTGATATAAAATGAAATATAATGCCCATTACATTAAAACACTGAATCATTTACTCTTATTTAGAAATAACTTCGGCCTGATCCCTCCAAAACTTTACTTTGTAATAAGCCCCATTATAGTCATTGGAACTTGTACTGTAATTGCTTCTCATATGAGAGATGCTGGGGCTCTAATCAATTATATCTTTTCAGACCTCTGGGTATTTTAGCCTCACTTCATCTTTTTCTTGCATTTTATTTTAAGCCAAGAACTATTTCAGAACAAATGTCAATAAAAGGTACTAAAATAAAATATTTTAATACTGATTTTACACTAGGTGTTGGAAATCTACAAAGGTCATCCAGTCAGCGTAGCACACTTGCATACCAAAGAAATAATTATGCCCTGAACACAACGGCTGCCTATGCGGAACCCTACAGGTCAATGCAGTACCGACTGTCAGAGTCCAGTTATAACAGGCTACAGCATACAACGCCAGCAGATGATGGTACAACCAGATCTCCATCTATAGACAGCATACAGAAAGATCCTAGGCAAGTCCAACTGAGCTTCCAAGAATCATATACCATTGCAAGAATACTATTATTCTAAAAGTGTTCCTTGATTAAATAGAAAAACTTACTAGTACATTTTCCATTCTGTATTACACAGATTATTGTGATTAATTTAGGTTTAATGAGTAATAATTTATAAAATTATTCAGAATCTAAACCACTAAGTGCATTGCTTTTACTTTGCTATAGCAGTTGACCATTGCATACATTTGTGTTAATTATTATTGAAATTATCTTCCAACTTTATTTTAGGATATCTAAAAGGAAATTTCATATACTTTGATGAACATTTTTGAACTTGGAAGGTTTCATTTGGTTTTATTTAGTATTTTTATTAAATTGTCAAATGTTTGTCTAGCAGGTTTTGAAAATGAGTCAGCACATATCTAAATATACAAGATCATTCTGTTAATGTTTTCATTGTAAGGGAAGTTGCTTGGAAAGCTTCAGAATAATTAGCGTACCATTTTGCAAAAGTAGAAAACTGTTGCTGATATTTACAAAGAATACATGAATGTAAAATGCCGGTGTTCTTTTGTTAATTATTCAAGTAGTCCTGGAGACAGCAATGGGCCTACTTGCATAATAGAACAAACAGGATATGGCCCCTATTCTTGAACTTTCAAACCACATCTTGGTTCAACTTAATAGTAATGCAACCTTTAACAAGCTCTGTGTGTGGTATTTGGCCATAGGTGCACTTTTAACATGTTGCCCGTTATCTTGTTCCACAGTGGTACTCAGACTGCAGCTCATGAGTTGCAAGTGGTTCTTTAATATGTTTGCTGCGTCTCTTTGCAGTACATGATATTAAAATGCTATATGATTTAATTATTAACCCATCAGGATGCTATATCTATATATTAGTAACCAATTGTAGAATACTTGGTCAGACATTTTGCTGTGAGACTAATACCAACCTGTAGAAAGAGATTAATCTGAAATAGAAAATGAAGCAATGAAACGACATTGTCTTTTGGGTAATGGCAATTGCTAGTTTGGCTTCTGAACCACTGAGGTCTGATTATTATTGATTTAAACGATCTATTTGAAGACTAAGATACTGTTTGGCCTGTGTAAAGGTAACTGAAACAGGCCCTTAAAAGTATCAGAAGGTCAAAGGGCTCGGCTACACTTGAAACTTTACTGAAATAGCTATTCCAAAACAATTATACTGATAAATTTCAAAGTGTAAACAAGTCCATGGGCTATTTTGGTGAAAATAAAAAAGAGGTGTACATTATTCTGTAATCTGTATATTAGAAGAGAAGAGAGAGAAATCTTTCAGAACAAACTGAGAAATCTTTTTCTTTCTTATATTTGTTGTACAAATTGGAGGTACAGTATTCATAAGATGCTAATTACCATCTTTCTCCATGGCCTTGTAATACTGTATTATTCAAAATATAAAAGAGAGTCGAGCTATGGTACATGGAGCAATAAAAGTTTTGGGAAATATAAGAATTCTTATCCTATCTCTTTATCATTATCCAGATCTTAGTCTTTCCTTATCCATTAATCCTGTCAACTACACAAATCCCCCCCACCCAGTCCCCCACTGCCTCTGTATCAGAGGCAGCAATGCACAGGGGAGATGGAAGCCGGTGCCTGTGGGGATCCAGCTTTTAAGTAGGCTCCCCACTCACATCAGATCCTGTAGAACTGCCTCACCCCCCGGCCCCTACGATGTTGCCTCTGATAGACAGGCAGCAGCACAGAGGGCGACAGGGGCAGGAGGGAGCCAGAACATGCGGTCAGCCAGCTTTCAAGCCAGCTGCTTGCGCATATTTACTCCAGGGATGCTCCTCCTCCCCCACCCCATGCTGCTGCCTCTCTATCAGAGGCAGCAGAGCAGTGGGCAGGGTGTTGCGGGAGCTGATACACGTGGGAAGTAAGCTTTTAAGACCGCTCTCCATGCTTACTGTCTCCCCCTGCCCATGCAGTCAGGGGGAACTTTCAGGGGAGGATGCTATGGAATGCTGGCTCAGCCTTTGTCCGCTGGGAGCTCAGGATTCCCCTGGACAGAGGATGCTCTGCGGGATGCCAGTGCAGCTTTTGTCCATGAGGTGCTCAAGCCCCCTGTGCACAGGGACTGCTGCCACCCCATGCTGCTGCCTTTGTATGAGAGGCAGCAGCACAGGATAGCAGAGGGCTCCCCAGGAGTGGGGCTGGGAGCGCACTGTCTGCCTTCCTGTTCCCCAGTCACTATCAAATAAGCATGTAATTGCTATGTTTTTGATGCAGTTAGATATTAAGTGAATAATAGTGTAACATCCCTATTTTAGAATATTATTTATAGTATGATAATTGTGTAGTTTGGTTTTTAAACTATTATGACTAGTTTATCTGAAATGTTCCCTATAAAACAGTTTATAAGAATTTATATATAAATTGTTTAAGCAACTACTCTCGTTAAAACTGTATCCCCAGACTTAGTTTCAGAACCATATAAAAGAGAACCATTAACAATTATGCTTAACTTTTCAGAATAGTTGCATGCTATGACTTTGGACTGAAGGAAATTTATTTTGATATGACCAATATCTGACATTGTTGAAGCTTGTTCTACTTTGTACAGCTACAGACAAAGCTGTATTGAGTGTAGTCAATTCCATCATTATTGTTCGTCACTGAAACAAGAAAGACACCTAATTTGTATATTATCACTGATGTCTGAGTTCTATTTTTTAATTTTTTCTAATATTCACTAACTTACTTTGAGATATCTTAGACATGATCAGCATATATATGTTGCTGCAGCAGCTTGGGATGACATCTTTATCACCAGATAGCTCCTTGTTTAGTTTAAAATGTTATCCTTTAACGAGGGGTATCAAAAATGTAGCTAGTTAAAGCCCAGAGATCTTTACAACAGAGTTGATTTCTGTGTTTTATTTAATCCAGTGGAGTGACCTCTGGAAATTACAGTTAGGACCTTGGATTGTGAGGTAATTTTGGCAGATAACAGACTTTCTGTCTGTCTTTAAAACACCTTACATAACTTTGTTTTTTCTCTAAAATGCATTTAAAATGAAGCCTCTTAAATTGGAGCCCGTATAATCCATGAGCCTTTAACTTGATTTAAAAAATGAGAACAGCCAAAAAATTTGTTCTGTTACACTTGTTACTTTTTGGTATAGTCAGACTACAGTGGTTAGGTTAAGTTTTAAAGACACCCCTATTTTAAAGAGATTATCAAACATGGTTCATTGTAAACTCCACTGTTTGAAATACTCACATGTGACCACCAGTTTTACAGGGTCCAAGACAAACTGCTGGGCAGACAGAAGTATGATGCAAAAGTCCCACAGTTTATCAAGGCAGTACCTGACACCCCAAATGGACAGAGTTATCTGCAACAGTCTCATTACACCCCTCATGCCTGTCTGAGGCTGCATCGACAGCCCCGTCACCTTTTTTGTAGTAAGGACAACAAATAGTCCCCAAAGTAAACTCAATAGTACTGTGCCAGTCTCTATCTTCTTCCAGAGGGCTTTGGCAGCCAGCAGTTACTGCAGAGAGTCTTGGCTAGTCCTTTCTTCAAGGAATACAAGGCAAGTCTGTTCTCTCTGGTCATTGCACCCAATGAGATGTCCCCTTTTCTTTTTAATTGGCCTGTCATTATCTGGCAATACGTGCAGGTGTAGTGTAGCAGGACTGAGTGGACCCACTGTAGCTCATTATCCCTTTTTGGTTCAGTGTCGGGTTCAGTGTACCCAATCACATCCCTTGATCTTTAAAATTAAATGTCTTTTTTTCCATTTGGTGACTCTAGACATAATTTGTGTGTTTCTAATGGAGATAGTTCCTTTAATTTAATAGGCTTACTTGCACTCTTGTCTAGATGACATCAGCAAGCAAGATGATGTTTGCTAAGTACTGTTGAGCCAATAGGAGGAGTACACTATTTGTGTGTTTGTGTATGTTTGTGTGTGTGTGTGTGTGTAGATTCTACATACACACACACACACACACACACACACACACACACACACACACACCATTCAATGCCATTGCTAATAGTAAAGCCTTTTATTATTAAAACAGACCTCGGTGAAACAATTGCAATAAAACTGGTTATAAATCAACAATCCCTGAACAATTCAAGCTGGGAAAACCTCCTGGTACTTTATTTTGATGTGGCTGATAATGCCATTCATATCAGTCCTCTTTTTGTCCAAATATAATTGACTAAAACAGTAAGAATGTGTTACATGTGAGTTACTCCTGTCCTCCACTAAATCAAATGTATAAGAACTAGGTATATGGTTCAGTAAGAAGAGTTACAATAGAGTTAAATACATAACTAGCATTAGCAATCTAACTGAAGAAGGTGATATTAACATGGATAAGGTTTTTGCTGTGATGATTAAATATAAAGTTTTCTGTACCGATGGGAAAACTAAAAGGCAGAATGGAATAATGAACTATCTTGCAACATTTCGTTTCCTCTTTTACTTAAGATAGATTAAGGCAGGAAATACTTTAGAAAACTGCTAGGAGTGTCAAGTAACAATAGAGAGTTAAAACATATGTATAAACTAATACCTTCCCTTGAATTTATCTAATGAAGGGAGTTTGCATGGCGGGATCCAGAATTGCCTGAAGTCATTCATATGCTTCAGCACCAGTTCCCATCAGTTCAAGCAAATGCAGCAGCCTACCTTCAGCACCTGTGTTTTGGAGATAATAAAGTAAAAACTGAGGTACAGTATTGAGTTTTTTCCTGTTTCATGAAGAACTGTAAACAGAAAGTAACTACACTTTTCCCTTTTATTTTGAGATAATATTGTAACACTGGGGTCTAGGGGCTTTTAGATACGTGTTTTTATTAGACGCATGATAATTCTCAGAATTCTAGATATATTAACACTTCTCTTGTAATAGCAAGTGAAAATCATAGAAAATTGTATTACTAGTATTTAATTTTATGTCAAAGCTGATATTATTTCTTAAATGTAGATTTAATGAAATCAGTAGTTAAAGAACTACTACTGATAATTAGGGGTTAAAAAAAAACCTACATAGGCTTTCCACTCTTTTTGATGCTAACATTTTAAGTAAATGTATGTTCTTCTTCGAGTGCTTGCTCATGTCCATTCCAGTTAGGTGCATGTATGCCACGTGCATGGATTCCGGAGCTTTTTTCCTTAGCAGTACCTATTGGGCCAGCCAGGGAGCTCCCTGGAGTGGCGCCGGCATATCCGTGCATGGACCTGTTGGCCCCTCAGCCCCTCAGTTCTTTAGTGGAACATCCACAAAGACTGATAGTCTTTACCCTTAGCCTGTATATAGTTCTTTAGATCTTTAAGTATTATGTTTCTCAGTTAGTTAATACCTCATTAGTTTCTGTAAATATTTTAGATAAGAAGGGCTTCTCCCCCGGCCTCTCTCCAGCTAGGGAGGGGATGCCTGGGCCGCAGGGATTGAAGCCGTGTGCATCGTGTTTGAAGCCTATGCCTTGCAGAGATCCTCACAACTCTTGTTTGAAGTGTCTCGGGGAGGCCCATCGTTCAGAAAGCTGCAACATCTGCAAGAGTTTTAAATTGAGGACTGAGAGAGAGAGGATCTTGAGTCTCAAGTTGATCCTCATGGAATCTGCTCTACAGCCACCGGCTCCAAAGTGGGGCTGGTCGGTATGCAGCACACCATCCTTACTGCGGGAGGCTTCTGTGGTGCCGTCCAGGTACCACACCACCTCTTCGAAGCCCCTTAAGCACCGACACAATCCCCGGCACTGAGGAGAACCAAGGACACCGGGGGAGATCCCCGGAAAAGCACTGCCACGAGATGTGCCCAAAGGAGGGGCACTTGGCCTCAAAGGCACTCTGGGATGTCCCCATATGGCACAGATGAAGATATACTTCCACACAGAGAGAAAGTCCAGTACAGGAAGGGACTTTTGAAGGACTCTGCCAGCCATCAACGCTGGAGAGCTTCACCGTGGCACGGGAGCTTATTGAATTGACCTCCCCGGGGGCAGGGGCCTCGGCACCATAGATACCAAGGCCACCATCTCCGGTACGATGAGCAACTCCGGACTTGCCCGACCCAGCACTGATGCAGGCACCGAGCCATTGGGTGGCACCAGTGCCGGCACCAATTTTGACATTGTCACCAGTACCAGCACTAGTGTTGACACCAGCACCGGCCCTGATGCCAACATTGGTAGCAGTCCTAACACGGACACCACCACCGACACCAGCATTGGCACTGGCAATTGTAGTGCGGCCAACACCCACAGTACTGTACACTGCATTGGGAGGCTCTACTCTGCAGACTGCTCCAGTGCTGCCGGTGTACAAGTCCTCCCAGCTGCCACACTTGACACTGGTTTACACGGCTCCAGTGCAAAAGATGTGTCCTCCAGCAACAGACCCAGTGCACAGAGGGAAGCTGATGGCCATGACCCAAAACCAATGGGAGCAGGCGACAACAGCCCCTCCTCCCCTCCCATGGTCAGCCTCTGATAATTCAACAGAGTCGGAGGCCGAATCTGTAGGCTCGGTGAGGTCCTCTTACAGATCGAAGTTCTGCCACTGCTCCTGGTACAAACACCCCAATGGCAACCTCATCAGTGGCCAGTCTGGACTCCAAGGACATACCATTAAGCCCAAGGCCCACCTCCCCCAGGGATGGTGTCAGGATCCTCGTGTCAGGGGAGCATCCCCTCAACGACCCCCTTTCCTCAGTCAGAGGTGAGCTACCTGGGGGTCAAGGACCTTCCCCCCCCACCCCGTTATAGGGAAGGCACGGGAGCCACGACACCCCAGTCAGAGTTAGGCTAAGATGGCACCTACAATGACAACACCATCACAGGCTGCAGAATTGATGGAGGAATTTAAAGAGAAGCAAGATAATTTCATGGAGGTGAGGTCCATAAAAGGCTATTAGCCAGGGGATAGAAATGGTGTCCCTGGCCTCTGTTTTCAGAGGCTGGAGAAGGATGGCAGGAGACACATCGCTTGATCATTGTCTTCGGTCCACCCTCTCTGGGGCACCTGGTGCTGGCCACTGTCGGCGGACAGGCTACTGGGCTAGATGGACCTTTGGTCTGACCCCAGTACGGCCGTTCTTATATTCTTATGTAGGAACAACCAGGCGCAAGAGAGTCATCATCCTCCTCGTCAGACAAGGCCTTAGGGGATCCAGCCCCACCACTTCTATCAATAGATGCAAGGGATCACCACGATCTGCTGAGGAGATTAGCAGCTAATCTGGGTGTCCAAGCAGAGGAGATCCAGAAAGACTCTGACCCCATGGCTGACATCTTTTTGTTACGACTCAATGAAACTGGACAAGTTGTCCAAAACACTATGGTAAACTCTGGCTTCCACAAAAAGGGGGTGGAAAGGCACTGTTTTGTCCCCCAGACGGGTCATGAACACCTTCGTACACTCACACGTCCAGCTCGCTAGTTGTTCAGGCCTCGGGGCAGAAAGAGCGCCAGCGCCCCCCAGGAAATATTCCTAAATCTAAGGAGCCCAAGAAACTTGACTTCCTGGGATGGAAGACCTATGCCATGGGGGGCCTTCAGCTCTGCGGCGCCAACCAGCAGGCGGTGCTGGGTGGATATGCCTACAATACATGGGTGGCCATGGACAGATTCAAAGACCGTCTCCCACAAGAGTCATGCCAAGAATTTGGGGCTCTAACAGAGGAAGGCAGAACAGTCATGCGAACAGCATTACAGGCAGCCCTGGGCGCTGCTGATTCAGCGGCCTGTACGATGGCCACTACTATAGTGATGAGGAGAAATGCATGGCTCCAAGTCTAGGGCATCCCTCCTGAGGTGCAGAATATGCTACAGGACCTCCCCGTTGAAGGGGCGGGCCTGTTCTCAGACCAGACCGATTCAAACCTGCACAGCCTTAAGGACTCCAGGGCAACTCTGAAGTCCCTCGGGATCCACACTCTAACCCCTCAGAGAAGGTCCCTCACCCCCAGGCCAGTCATGAGAACTTTCCAACGTGGTTTCGGCTCTGACCGGGGCAGGAGGAGGGGCCATAATAATGGCCAGAACGACCTGCCTAGGAGAAGGCGCAGGGGCTCGAGATCGGACTCGAATAGAGTATCTGCCCCCCCTATGAGCCAACAACCCAAATCCTCATTTTGAAGGTACACTCAAGGACAGCGTAACAGTCACACCTCTATCATCCCCTTTTGGTTGCCGCTTGTTCCTTTTCTACCGGGCCTGGTCCCAGATAACATCCAACCGATGGGTTTTAGACCTAGTAGCAAAGGGTTATGTTGCCCCTTCCTTTCCATCCTCTCTTCCCATTCTCCCTCCCCGTCCCTCTTCAGGGACCCCTCTCACGACAGTCTGCTAAGACAGGAAGTGTCTACTCTTCTTCAGCTCGGAGCGGTCAAGCCTGTTCCAGAAGAATTCAGGGGAAGGGGTTTCTACTCCCACTATTCCCTTATTCCCAAGGCAAAAGGGGTCTACACCCTGTCTTAGACCTGAGAAACTTGAACTCATTCATAAAGAAAACGAACTTCAGGATGGTCACCCTCCATTATCCCTTCCCTACAGAAAGGAGACTAGTATACTGCCCTTGATCTAAAGGGCGCATATTTTCATATTACAGTGATCCCTGCTCACAGGAGTTTCCTCAGATTCACAGTAGACTGGGATCATTTTCAGTTTGCGGTCCTGCCTGTCGGCCTCTCCGCAGTGCAGAGAGTGTTTTCCAAATGTATGGCCACAATAGCGGCTTTTATGAGGCACCTCAGGATCCAGGTTTTTCCCTACCTGGACGATTTGATTGATAAGAGAGCCATGCTGAGAGCAAGTGATAAGACATATTGAGGTGACCCGGAGGCTGTCTTCTGAGCTAGGCCTCCTTTATAAATGAGGAGACGTCCACTCTAGACTCCACTCAGATAATAGTTTGTGGGGGCCCACATGGACTCCACCATCAAAAGGGCGTCCCTGCCCAGCGACAGGGTCCTGACTAAGCTCAATGATCGCAGACCTCCAGAGGTCCCCTAACCACAGCGAGGACATGTGTGAGACTACTGGGCCATATGGCAGCTTGCACCTATGTGGTGAGCCACGCCAGGCTAAGGCTCTGATCCTTACAGAGGTGGTTAAGTAGCATCCACAACCCAACACAGTCATCTCTGGATGCAGTGGTCACCTTGCCAGAGTCGGTGTTCTGCTCACTGGACTGGTGGAAACAGGAGGAGACGGTATGTCCGGGGGTCCCGTTTGTCAAGTAGATCCCATCAGTGCAGCTGTATATGGACTCATTGGATGCGGCCTGGGGAGCCCACATGGGAACCCTCAGGACTCAAGGTACGTGGTCCGCAGGGGAGAGTTCCCTATACATAAATGTCAAAGAGCTCAGGACGGTCAGGCTAGAGAACAGAGTGGAGAACCTGGAGAACAGAGTGGTCGTGGGGCTGACAGAAAACACGACTACCATGTATTGTACCAACAAACAGGGTGGAGCTCATTCCTTTCCCCTTTGCAAAGACCCTAGAACTGTGGGAGTAATGCATTTCCCAGAACATCTGTCTGGAGGTGTCCTATCTTCTAGTGTCCAGCAATGTTCTGGCAGACAACCTCAGTCAGTCCTTTCAGGCCCACGAGTGGACCATCAGGAAAGATATTATAGAGAGAGTCTTCCAGAGGTGGAGTTAACCCCATCTGGATCTGTTTGCCTCATGGAACAATGCCCAATGTCAGAGCTACTGCTTGTTC